GAATGTAAACATCCATTTTGGATAATACTATTATTTTTAACCCCTTGGATTTTGAAGATTCACTGCCTGCATGTTGCTCAAAATACAGGCTTTTGGCTTACCTGAGCTGCCACTCTGACAGATGTGTGGCTTGTAAGCTGGGCACACAGGAGTACTTGAGACTGCAACGTTATTTTCTCTTGTTTCTACATAAATTTTTTTGGAATAATAATGACAAAAAAGTAACCTTTTGTCAATTGTGTTACTTTTACATTTTTTATGGAATATTAAATTTTCTGTGCACTCATGGTGAGTCATTCCTGTCACCCTGGCCTTCAGTCAAATTTCTCATGAAGGTAAGTTTCCTTCACTCCAGCCCTCTGCAAAGTTTTATCATGATGGCATGTTCATGTCATCCACCCCTCAAGTCAAATTATTTCATGACATGACGGTCACATCATCCATATTATTGGGGTTAACAGTACTATTTTCATGATAAATCTAACAAAGGCAGCCATACCTGGGTTTTTTGTATAATTCTTCTTAACTCCTTCAATCATAGGGAACTGGGGGTTGAAGGGGGGAAGGCACACTTGCTTTCCTAACCCCTTAGTGGAGGCAATCTCCCTGACCTTCTTCCCCTGAGATGTTTTCCTACCAGGGTTAAGTCCCCAGACCCCTTCTTCCCAGGGTGTTATTTGAATTATCGCTTTTAGCAATATAAGTACTGTACCCTTTTACATTACAGTATTCAAATCTATAGTTCAGTATTTTCTCATCAACTGAATATAAAATTGGTATATCCACAATCACACCCAACAAGAGACATTGCACTCAGTTCAGTTTTCAACGGGTAAAATGACATGTAATCAAAAATACCGGTAGATTTGCATTAGACAAGTGATATTCGGCACTTGCCAATATTACATTACTATTTTGCAAGGTTCTGTCATACTGTGATGTGTAAAAAAAAAAGTTGTAAAAAACACTTTAAAATATTAAATGCATATGGGTTAAGACCAATTCAAAAACAGTATTAATTACTGTTAGCATTCAAGATGCTTCAAGATGATGAGATAATGAGTTGACTAGTGTCTTCTTCCTTTGAGGTGCAACATTTGAACTTGAATTAAGCCACATCCAGTGGAGTTCTCACAGTTTCATTAACTTTGCCAATATCTACAAACACTACTCTATAAGCTGAAGATATTTTCATGGATGTATGCAGTTCAGTCATCATAATTATTATTCCAAACACTTAGTATAAACCATATATTTCAACAGACTTCTCACTTGCGACATACTCAGCATTTAAATACACCCAAAGTATAAATGGGCTGTACAGTTAACTGGTACTTTGACAATTTTGCATGGCCAACAAATAAGAAAGAGTAAACAGCAGCCACTTGCACATGTGCTACAAAGTTTTCAGTCTGACCCGGGTTAGGAAGGGTTAGTCACTCTGTAAACAATTACCATATACTTATTAATTTGTAAAGGAATGACATAAATGTAGTGCTTTCAATTTTGACACAATTAATTTTGTACCCAGAACTGTGGAAACCTAAACCTATACCCCCTTTGTTTATAGTGATGTCCTCTACTGTGCCAACCAGAGCTAATGAGCCAAAAGGTAGCACTCGACCCAGAACATTCCAATGCAATTCCTCCTAGCCATTGGCACTGTCCCTGGAGCATTGCAAGACATGTACCAGTCACCTACTTCATTAATTAAAATACCATAAGATAAGCAGTTCTCTATAACCCTCTATTTCACACACTTATTCCATTGCTTACCTACAAATAAGCGTTTCTAGAGCACAAGAAAAATGGAGCCACCTCAGGATAAGGTCATTTTGTTTACGTACGTGGCCTTGCGTCAGTGGCTCAGGGTTGCCAACCGCGCGCGAGAAGAACAAATCAAATTTAATACCTTTTAATATAGAGATACACATCGATCATTCTTGGAGTCTGTATAGATTAGATCATATGTATCTAGTCATAATAATAATGCCTGTATAGTTCAGTGGAATGTCTGTGTGATACAGCTTCATATATTTCGTTTTGTAATTTTGTTTGTGACATTTCACTTGTTTGCATTATATTTTTTTATAAAAATAGTATTTCTTTCAATCACTAAATTTGCGACTAAGCTTAGTTTAGCTTATGAACATAAAAAAGTAATCATATTAATTTTACAACTCATCATGACAACGTTGGTACGATTGTGTGTGTGTGTGTATGTGTGTGTGTGTGTGTGTGTGTGTGTGTGTGTGTGTGTGTGTGTGTGTGTGTGTGTGTGTGTGTGTGTGTGTGTGTGTGTGTGTGTGTGTGTGTGCGTGCGTGCGTGCGTGCGTGCGTGCGTGCGTGCGTGCGTGCGTGCGTGCGTGCGCGTGAGTTGAAAGAATATGAGAAAGAGCGAGAGAGGCACGGCAAAGCAAGGCAAACTGACAACGTTTTGCTTTTTCTTTTAGGCTGGAATGTGAATGCGAAAACTTCCAAGATTGTAGCAATAAAATTGGCAGCCCCACACAAGATGTAGTGAGGAGGGAGAAAGCGTTTGTTGCAAGCAGTAAACTCTCTCGACTTATACTTTTCGCCTTTAATATATAACGTCTGACATTCAAACAATTCTGGATTATTACTGGTTTTCATTACCATTAAAAGAATCGAATACTAGCGACGATACGACATGATGGTAGTAACAGCAGTAATAGTATTAAATAATTATAGTAAAACATAATAGTATGTAATATCATAATGGTGAGTGTAAGGATAATGGTAATAGAATCATTAGTTTCATAAGCACTGCGACAGTATTAATGGTAATTACAATATGATATGATGGTGATGATACATTGCACAACTACGATTACAAGTACTAATAACTACAGATAGTGATGTAGATGTAATGTGGACAATGACACTACTAACAACAAAAACAATTGCTAATATGAGTTCATGCAATGATTACGATGATACTAGCACGATGTATATGGTAGGGATAATGGTACTGATTATAATGAAATAAATATACAAATAACGACATTGGTGATAATAACAATAAGTAATTATGATAATAGTTATAACGACAATAAAAGTTAAGAGTGTTATTTCCGTTATCATTATCATCATCATTATTAATATTATCATCATTAATATTATCATCAATATTAGTATCATTATCATTATAATTGTTATTATCGTCATTATCAGAATCATGATGACCATCATTATTAATGTCATTATCATTATCACTACTATTATTATCCTTGTTATCATTACTATCATCATCATTATCATGATTAAACCACATTGATAATTAATACTATTGCTATCAATACTATTATTATCATTATTATTAGCATTAGCACAATCATCATTATCATCTGTATAATTATTATAGCTACAATAACGATAATAGTGATAACACTAGATATGATAATGATAAAAACATGATAATAAAAAATAATGATAATGATTATAAAAATAATGATAATACATTGATAATAATGGATAATAATATCATTATTATTACTATCATTACCATTAGTAGTAGTAGTATCATTATTGTAATAATCATTATTAGTATTATCATCATTATTATGGTTATCAATATCATTATCATCAGTATCACCATTATCATTATCACCATCATTATCATCATTATCATTATCATTATTATCATCAGTATCAATATTATCATTATTAGCATTATTACTGTTGTTGTTGTTGTTATTATCATAACACTATCATTATGACCATCATCATCATTATCATTATTTCTATTATCATTATGATCATCATTATTCTTATCATTATGATTATTGCTATTATTATCATTACAATTATTATTGTTATCATTTTCATTATCATTATTGTTCACATCATTGTTCATATTACTTTTATCATCATTATCACTACTGTCATTATTATCATTATCATTATCATTACTATTATCACTACTGTTGTCGTTATTATTATTATCATCACGATTATTATTATCATCATTATTAGTATCATCATTGTCAGTATCATTACTGTTGGTGGTAGGGGTGTTATTATCATAATATTATTAGTAGTGCAACTACTTTCAGTAAAGATGCTGGTTGAAATCCAAGAATATTGGCAGAAATGACAGAGCTACTACAGCAATCATTATAATGATAATAATAATCATAATAAGAACAATAATAGAAAAAAAATAGTAGTGACAATACCACTAGTACCATTACTATTACACCTACTGTTCCTGCTACTACTACTATTGCTACTACCAACACAACTAATGATGATAACAACAACGACAATGATGCTAATAACGATAATAATGGTAAGAAAGATAATATAGTAAGGATAGTGGTAGTTATAGCAAAGACGATTATTATGATGATAATAATAACAATAACAACAACAATTATGATAACAATATTAATGATAATAATGATGATGAAGGTAATAACTATAGTGATAATAGTGATAATGATAATATCACTATTGTTATTATTGATATCATTATGATTATGATTATCGTTTTATTGTCATCATTATCATTATCAGAATCATAAACACAGTATTAATGATTTTGGTAATAAAGTGATAATGATAAAAATGATAATATGAATATGAATAACAATAATGATACCAATGATGATGATGGCAATGCTATGATGATAATAACGATGATAATAATAATAATGTTAATAATAGTGATAATAATAATATGAATAACAGTAATGTTATTGATGAGGATACTGACAATGGCAGTTGTAACACTAATGAGAATAATAATTACAATGATGATGATGATAATAACAGTCATAATAAGGATAATAACAATCATAATAATGATAATGATAATGACGGTGATAATAACAATAACAGCATTATTAATGATGATGATGATGATAACAATAATCATGATAATAAGATATAGTGATAATAGTTATGATAATAAAATTTATGCTGATGATAATAATAGAATTTGATAATAATGATAATGATATATTTTCTATTTTCATTATCATTACCCTTATCATTATGCCTATCATCATTATTGTTATAATCATTATCATTATAGTTGTTATCATTATTATCATCAATACCATTATCATCATCATCATCACTTACAAAATTACCCTAGAAAATATCTGACAAGTAATAATATGATGATAAAACAGTAATGCTGATAACATATAAGTGATGGTAATTATCATACTAATATCAATGATAACAATAGTGATTGTAATGGGTAATATCAGTATAAATGTTAATGATAATAACGACTATGATGTGTACATACTTATCAATACTTTCCAAGCTACAATTTACCCAAAGTAACTAAAAAATGTCTCTAATAGATATCTGGACCCACATTCAGCTGGATACTCCAAGGATATACCGATTACAAACAAAAATACATTGCATATATTAACTCGCGTGTTAGAATGGATACTTTGAATAACCTAAACGTGAATAACTGAATACATTTTAGGCGGTCGTGTCCTCTGTCTCCTGCGTCTAGACAAAACATTTGAACGGAACGAGCTCTTTGAAAAAAATAGTACCAAGTCTTAATTTCTTGTACATTTATTTCCGCTTCCTTAAACAATTGGTACCTATTAGCTGATATCTTTGGTGTTAAAGAAAGCTAGAAGGGAATTTAAAGAGGTCCTTTGCTGTAAATACCAACGGTAAATGTCAAATAAAAAGCAAAATCAGCAGCATCTTTGGTAACTCTGACAGTGTTGTTGACTTTGAGGATAAGGCGCCAAACGGGCGTTCTGAATGTCCTGCTTATATTTTCAAGTAATTCAAAGGTAAGCAAGTGAATATTGATTAAATTTCATGTTGAGAACGTATATACTTAATATAAAGAATATATAGACTATATAAGTTAAAGGCTAAGAACATCGGAAGAGTCGTATATGCGTACATGAGGAGGCTAATCGGTTCCGGAATATGAAGTTGAAATGAAGACCGATATTATTTTTACCCGTAGCTAAGCATACGTAGGATTGATTATATCCTTAAAAAGTACCTAGTAGTATTCTTGTATTTTGTGTTTTCATTTCCTAGTAGTTCAGGCTAGAAGATCACTGCATTTGTATCCAATAAGTGGATAGAACTTCAGCGATAAACTTAATGAAGCTGAAGTTGAAGGCGCCAAAAGCATACCTCTCAATCTCGATTAATTTTAATACAATGGGCGGTGGTCAACGATCATCGAGAATAAAATGTTCAAGTCGCATATACTTGGTATTCCGGGAATTCACTCTTGTTTCTTATTCTATCAGTACACCTAAGCCTTTGGTTGTGATGTAGGGGAACAATGCAAGCAAAATAATGGTCAGAATCAAGGGTAATAGTTAAAGCGTCCACCAGCTGTCATTTACAATTTTAAGTAATAGTTACGTTATTTTATATGTAATAATTTTACATAATAATGTAAGAAATATTTGGGTAAATTTACATGTAATAATTTTACTAATTAGGGTAATTTTCTATATTACCTCCGCCTCTCCGATATCGATGATTTTGGTATTGTTGGATTGCTGTCACTGTCCACATTGCAAATATATAGTTTTTATTGCGCGGAAACCCCCGTTAGCGACAAACTTGGCCCCGATAGCAGGGGAGGGCATGGAAGGTTCCAGGGAAAATGCGGGGTTGAATAACACTAATAATATAACCCACAGTGAAAATAACCATGGTTATTAACATGACTTTCCATTGCAGGGGGCTGTGCCCCCTGCGACCCACCCTGAGGGGGGATCCCGCCCCCCAAACCCCGCCGAGGAAACAAAATATCCCCCACGTATTCACGGCAGGATAGAGCGCACATGAACTAGATGCATTGAAAAAGGCACAAAACCCGCCGACCCGACGAGGGCGGGTCACCGCCGCTCTTCCGTTCATGGCATACCTTGTTCATCCTGATTATACTACAATCATATCTGTATACAATGTT